TACTTTTTTATATTTTTTTACTATTCGATTTTTTTCAATTTACTTATTGGGCGGATACTTATACTTAATGATTTAGTCGATTAATTATTAATTTTTAAATGTATTAATTCAACAATCAATTGTTAAAATATTAGTTGGTTTAATAATGAATAGTAATAGTAATTGTTAAATGATTATGTTGTAATTTATTATATTCACTAATATAAAATCTAATTATAAAAGGGTGAAGTCGGTCTAGGACATACGAATATCATAGAATCATGTGAAAGAAAATCACCTACGAGATAATAAATACAAAAGTGAAATAGATATGAAATTTGAAAAAAAAATAACACTTAACGAATTAGAGATATTAATTGTGATAAGTGATGAAGTTTGGTAGTCATAATTATCCAAAATCATGGAGTGAACATGAAATTATTGGATGTTTATGGAGTATGAAAATAGCAAGGATCAACGGGTCTTAGTATTGTACTGAGTCTTTTGAGGTATACTTATTAGATGTTCTTGTATTCACCAACTAATATAAACTAGAAATAAGTTCTTGTAAATCAATGTGCTTCTTTATTTACTTGTTATCTTAAATTTGAAAATAGTTCAAGAACCTTCAAAAATATTTCAAGATTAGAAAGTTGAAATTGGGTTTGAATGATTGACGAATGTTGTATCCAACTTATACAAATACTATGTATCTCTTGTTGCAACAGAAAAAAAGAAATAAAGAACCTCTAATTCTCATGATATACGAGAGATAAATTTTTTAAGTTAGACAAACAAGAACACAACGGTTGCTACCTGATGAGATGAGATAAATGTTGTTAGAGAATGTAGATGAAAAAGTTTCATGAATTAGTGAATGTTCATTCTAACACTTTGTTTGGATCAATGTTGCCCATTGTTTCATAATATATTGTATTGTATTGTATTCTATTGTTTGTATTGTACGGTAAATACAATGTTTGGCTAGATTGTATTGTTTGTTGTTGTTTAGTAACACTTTAATTGTTTGTTTAATTGTATAGTAATGTATTGTAATTTACAACTTTACTTAAAATCCTTAATTATCCTAGGCTAGGAGGTTTGACAAAGTTTAAATAATTAAGATAAAGGATAAAATAGTATTTTGAAATATTATGTAAAAATATATTTGAAAAAAGAAATTAAGTAACAATTGAAACACACCAAATTGGTTGTTCCATAAAATAAGGGTTTTCATTGTTACGTAACAATAAATTTAACAATACAGTATAATACATTTATGTAACAATCAAAACAAATATTGTAGGTATAGTAATGATACAATATAATACAATGGATAGCAATGATCCATACATAGTGTAAAAGGCGTGTGTAAAAGACAAACCACTACTAAAAAAATAGTAAATTTTGACTTAAAAATTGTTGACATCCACTGAATGTTGGTAATGTCTGACTTCTGAAAGTCGGCATGTTGAAAGATTTAAAGGATAAACTTTCGAAAATCGACTTCATGAAGTCAATATCTTTTATATTTATGGAAAAAAGTCGAAAAAATATTTCAATTATGATCGAAATTATTGTTACACTACCAAATTTTATGGAGGACACTTTACCCTTTGCACTATTTAATAGAGTATTTTAAAGATATATATGTATTCATGTGGACACATTAATTGATATTTATAATTATACAATATTTTTTATGTCCGCGTGGATACATATATACCTTTAAAATATACTATTAAATAGTGCAGGGTGTAAAAGATCCTTTCCAAAGTTTAGTATTGTTACAACAATTTCGATCAAAGTTCAGATATATTTCACACTTTTTTCTAATACTTGAAAAATTATATCATATCATATATCATATATTTATATAGAGGAGAACCTTAGGTTCGCCTATGTGGTGCCACCAGAAACAAGAATTTCCTTTTAAAAATATTTATTTTCAAAACTAGCCTTTCATGAACTTTAATGAAGAGTTGTGACTTCTATCAAAAGTTGTGACTTTTTATGAAAATGTGTGATTTTAATGAAGAGTTGTGACTTTTATGAAAAATGTCAACTTTAATGAAGAGTTGCGACTTTTATGAAAGATTGTGAACTTTCTGAAAGGTTGCAACTTTTCCAAATAATTGTAATCATTCTGATAAAGTACATTAAATATTTGTTCACACTATCCTTTATTGTCTACAAATAGGAGGATTTTCTCTTATTTTAAAACAATAAAAATAATGATTTTCTTCTTCTACTTCCATAAAATTAAATACTTGTGTACTTTGCTCCTGTTGAGTGATTTACAGACACCAATGTTTTAGTATCAATAAGTTGGTGAATAAAATCGCTCCATCCTGAGAGGATGTAATTCTTTACAACTCTGGTATTGGAGGGGAAAAGTTTTTCTAAAGGGGAACATTGTACAATCAGTGGACTCAACTTTTTCCTTTCTATTTCATTTTATTTTTACATATTTTGGTATGTTTTTTTTTATACTCATTAATTTAAGCTTATGATATTAATTGTTATTTTTTAGTACACGTTTAAACTCCGTTGTTTATGTTTCTGCAAATTTATTTTCTCCGATTATATTAAACATATACACACATAGTATATGTATTCATTGTGCAGAAAATAATTATTGTACTCAATTTCAAAAACTCATGTTTTGATATTCTATATTAAATTTTATAACTTAAAGTACTATATATAAGCTTACAGGTTAATCTTTTTTTACATAGATATGAAATTTCCCACTTATCAATTGAAGAAATTCATTATGTAAGTTCAAAAGTTATAATTGTTTTCATGTTCAAGCGTAATATGTTAACAAATTTTTGATTTTCTCCTAAGACATATATCACAATTGTATAATCTATACAACTTAAATATTTCTTTTTGTTATGAAATGCCTTAGTGTATATATTTTTATTTTTCTTCGTTATTTTCCTTTTAATGTTGATTAAACCAATAATTTTTTATTTCGTGAATAATTTAGAGGTCAGTGACAAATAATCAAATTGATGTTGGAATACTGCTAATATTTTTAGAGAACATATTTTCCCATTATTTTTAATGTATGAATATTAATAAAAAAATTATTTGCAAGTCAATGCAATTTATTATTTATAAACTCTAGGTCCGCCTATATGGCGCCACCACAAACTAGAATTCCCTTTTAACTTATTTATTTTCAAAACTAGGCCTCCCTTTCATGAAATGTTGTGACTTTTATAAAAAAAATTGTGAATTTTATGAAAAGTTGTGACTTTTACGAAGAGTTGCGACTTTATAAAGAGTTCCAACTTTAATGAAGAGTTCCTATTTTTATGATAACTGTTTTTATGAAAGATTGTGAAACATTTATTCACACTGTCCTTTGTTGCCTATAAATAGAGGAATTTTCTCTCATTTTAAAACAATTTTTTTTGAACTTCTTCTTCTACACAATTAAATATTTGTTTAATTTGCTCTTTTTGAGTGGCTCACTAACATCATTGTTTTGTATCAATAAACTGGTGAATAGAATTGTTCCATCCGGAGAGGATGTATTTTTTTAAACGTCGAATACTAGAGGGGAATATTTTCCTTAAGGGGACAATGTTCATCCAGCGGACTTGATTTTTTCCTTTCTGTTTCATTCTATTGTCGCAAATCCTGATATGTTTTGTACAATCGTTAATATATGCTTATTTTATTAATATTTATTTTTGAGTACATGTTTTAAAACTTTGTTGTTTATGTTTATGCTTTTGATCATTGAACATAAGTAAAAATATGTTAATCAATAGTTTAATGGAATCTTTAGACTATTAGTGTCATGTAGATGAGAATTCTTAAACTTTTAAAATAAATGATTTTGATCTTTATAGAGTTTTCATTGGCTAAAAGATACATGGAATGTCCAATAAGAGACTTTTGAGTGTTCAAAAGTTATTCTGGTTCCACACCATCTTGGAATTTTAGTTATTCAACTTTTTATTTTATCGAGACATTCAGTCGATTAGTGACATCTAAAAAATAAAGGAAGATAGTGAATTTGAAGTATTGTACTCAAACTTAATCAAACGTTTGGGGTCCAAATGTAGGGTTAAAGTCAATGAATTACCCTTCAAAGTAGGATGGATCCATATTAATCAAATATTAAAGAAAAAATTATCTCCTTATAAACTTTAGATTAAAAGTCACAAATAAAAGTTTTAACCATATTGATCGAAACATAAACAACAAAATATGTCTTTTGGCTATCAAAGTAGTGTCATTGACTTCAAATAATTTTGAATAAAGGACTTGCAAAGACATCATTTAATCCAAATTATTTGAGCGACATGTTATTTCATTGGATTCCAAGCGATGTGTTTTTAAATTTTAATCAACTTATTAAGTACACAACTAATTATATAAGATGTATAATATTTAGATTTTAATGTAAAGGCCTTGAATAGGAGAAAAACTCTCACAATTGATGAATAAAATGTTTGTACCACTTTTTAAAAATACAAATATAGAAAATGAAACAATTACATATCTTTTTTAAAGACTTTGGTGATGAATAACCTACAGTCTAATGAAGAATTAATAACAAAATTCACAAACACTAAGAATCAAATATTTTTTGTTTTATGATTTAAAAAATATTTCATTTATTCTTTGGATGAAATATTCTTGAGAATTTATCGTAAGGATGTATCCTCCCGAAAACACTTACATTATCAAATATTCAGAAGTAGATTATTAACGTGATTCTCCACCGAGTGAAGCTCGAAATATTTACCTAGTTAAGAATAAAATATAATCTTATCTAAATTTAATTATTTTCAATTTAAAATCGTCCTTTTAATAACGATTTTCTATAAATTAATATAAAATAGCGACCTTTTGTTGTCAGTATTATTTGATGCAAGCCCAATAAACCACAAGAATGCAAGCCCACAAGAAATCATCTTGTGGTAGTGGGAACTGCGCTTGCATTCGGATTTCTTGTGTTTTTTTTTTGCATTTTTACAGTTTCTTGCTGTGCAACCTTTTCTAAAATGAAAATGAAATAATTTTCTGCTCCGTTAGATGTTTTGTCATCTCGATTACACTGCATACTCAGGTATTACATCTGCTTTAGCGATTCAGACTTGACGAATAAGCATTCAGATATGAAGAGACATAACAAACTAACAACATACCTCCATAAGGAACCCATTGTGAAGCCAAGTAAACCATGCATTAGCTGATTCAGGAGAGAAGTGTTAGCTAATTTAGTAAGGAACATCACAGAGGCATGAATAGAATTTTTTTTTGTTGGTGGATGTAAGAATAATACTTTTGTGAACATCAAGTATTGAAGCACAAGAATGGCCAACAAGGATAATAAGCAACAAAAGAAAGCAATGACAAAATTTGGCATTCACTAGCCTATAATATACATCTTTTATGGTTTATAAGACATCACTCACCATATAATTTAATGCTTGCACTGGACCAGACATTGCTTGAATTATGTTTCTAGATTACTACGGTCAATCCGAGATAAACATTTCTACAATTGGTAGGGACTAGCGCTGCAGATACTCAGATATATAACGTGACATGTTGATGGCAAGTTGTCTTAAAATGCTTATCTCTGGAAGGAGAAACCATTGTCATTGTTGATCCAGTAGGACGGGAAATATTCTCCAACCCGCTGCTGCCACGAAGAACTTTTGCTCCACATCCAACTATATCAACTGTTCCGACAGCCTCTTCTTCATCAACAAAGACAACCTCTAAAAATTCCTCGCTTGGCTTGCTTCCATGAACCTGTGCACAATATTCCAGGATATGGTTTAAGAGAATAGCTGTAGTATGCACGAAGAATCCTCTGAGTGCCATGCAGCCGAAAAAGCATAAGGAACATGAGAACTATGTAAAGATGTCGATTTTTAAATGGACAGGTTGCATTGAAATCAGAGGCAGACATGACAAATCCATGTTTCACTGAGGAACCGTTTGGGAATGTGATGCGTTTGAGCATAAAAAACAATTCAAGTATTTGCTACGTGATTAAAAATACATCGAGTCATATAAAGGTTTGAGTGGAAAAGCGTTTAGATAGAATGATAAGTTGAACCATGATATATATCACTTGATCTAAATGGGTTTCATGAAATTAATTGAGCTTGGCAGCTTACCTTTCTGAAATGGTTTTCTCTAAACCAACAAAAGCTCCAGCCTCCACCACAGATAAAAAGGATAGCTTTTAGTGACTATCTGCAAATTAGAATATGGAAATATATAAAGAGCAGTCAGCATCTGGAAAGAACAGTGAAGAGCTATTGAACAAGTAATGTCCAGCTCGCTACGACTTTACATCATTCATAGATGATTGCTTCAAGGCCTATAAACCAGTATTTGACTCTACTTTCCACTCCCAAAATGTGTAGTTTAGCTGAAGAAGTCTTGTTTCCTTTTTGTTGAATAGGTTAGTGTGTGACATCTGATTTTCTTTGGCCAATCAATCTTTTCCAGTAGAGATTTGTTCTCCACCCCCAAGTTAATCAAATTGATTCTGGAAAGCACTAAACTATATTACCATCTAAATAACAGATTGCAAGTGTTTTTCGCACAAACTTGTTACCCTGCAATTTATAAAAAGTAGATTAAAGATGCTTTAATAGATTCAGTATACCTGAATAATAGCACCACTTGGATGCTTCTGTGCTCTATTGTCAGGTACACTTGTCACTATGTATCTCGATGAACCAACCAAGGTCCATTCTGACTCTCAAGCGACTAATTACTTGAAAACAGCTATTGTACAAAAAACTGCATCCATGAGAAATGCTAAACAACTGGCTTTTGTTCTCTGTGCAAGTACTTCAATTTATTCCTTGCCATTGACATGATTAGTTTATATATCTCGTTAAATGGGAAAAGATTATTATTAACCAAATGTGGACTCAGCTCATGCACTTATTCCTTGGTATTGAAAAGTTAAAGGTTGATGCTCTGAGCAAATTATTTTCATGAATAAACATTAGTATCATGACCAACGATTTGATTAGTCACCTCAGAGGAACGTTGATGTTCTATTATGATTGGAGAATGCCGTGTCCAACATATCCAAATACCATCTATCTCCTGTTGTTGCAGAGAAAAGGAATAATGAGGGGGAGCATATCTAAGCAAAACTGACCATACCACGACAATATAGAATCTCTAATTCACATGATAAACAAGACATAACTCCCCCTTTTTTGGGGTAGTTGTGTGGGGTGGGTGGGAAGTTGCATTGTACAAATACAACTGCATAAAGCACAATCCTGGAAGTCAAAATGGTTTGGATCAGGTGTCCAGGGGAAGAGGCTGTGGAAATATATAAAAATTCAGTTTGGAACGCCAACTAGCTTTGCACATTTGATAATACTTTATATACAAGAATTCACACACAAAAAAAAAAAAAGAAAATTGAAAAGAAACAGACCACGAGTCCAAGTCTTTTTTTCTTGCTTCCTTCTTCTCCTGAAAAAAATAGCTAAATCACTCAAGAAATTTACAGTTTGCAATTCTTCTAGAGAGCATGGAAAATCTTGAGCAAACAGTTTTTTGATTCACATATTTCTCCACTTCTTGGCCAAGATTCAGAATGTTTATACAAATAAAACTGCCAATTATAATAATGTTCCTGATAGGAAACAAAATCCTTGTATACGAGAAGAAGTATCATCTGTGTGATGCAGGGGACAGATCACACACTAATGATATAGGCGATAAACACATCTCATTATTTTGGTCCAGAAAATTCCTATTTAATTTTCAAGTGTCTTTAGATCTTTTCTTTTGATTATTGACAAAACATATAATATCAACACAAATCATTCATCTCTGTATTCCATACTTGATCGTTCAAGCATCAAGCTTGAAGAGAAATTTGGTTATAAGGGGCAAAACAAGCTTCATAACAGTTTACACTTCTGTAATGGAAGAAAAGTGAATTTCTCGAGGTTCAGATCCTAGAGTTGGATACTGATATGAGTGGTATAATGATCTTTACTCACTCAAATCTTTTTTCTGAAGAGACAAACAAGTTCCATTTAATGATTAAAAAGAAGAAGAGAGAGCAAACTGTTCACATCACTCACCCATCAAACACAAACTATAGGTGACTACACATTAATAGACAAATTGTAATAAAACTTTGCTGAATGGAACATCTAATCAGCTAGAATTATATTTCTAAATTATTATGGTCAATCTTAGACAAGCATGTCTATAATTGGTAGGGATTACCTCTGCAGATACTCAGATATATAATGTGACGGGTTGATGGCGAGTTGTTTTAAAATGCTTATCTATAAAAGGAGACATACCATTGTCATTGTTGATCAGGAGGGGAAATATTCTCCAGCTCACTGCTATCACGAAGAAAATATGCTCCACATCCAACTGTATCAACTGTTCCAACAGCCTCTTCATCAACCAAGACAACCTCTATAAATTCCTTGCCTGGCTTACTTCCAGAAACCTGTGCACAATATTCCAGGATATGGTCTATGAGAATAGTTGTGGCATGCACAAAGGATCCTCTGGAGTGCCATGTTGGCGAAAAAGCACAAGCACTAGAGCTATGTAAAGATATCAATATTTAAACGGACAGGCTGCACCGAATTTAGAGGCAGACTTGACAAAAACATGTTTCACTGAGGCACTGTTTGAGAATGTGAAGTGTTTGAGGTTTTGAGCATTAAAAAAATAGTTCTTTAAGTATTTGCTACATAATTAAAAAGTCAGAAATGTCCGAGTGAGTAGAAAATAATAGAACTTTTGGAGCCTTTGAAACTAATATTTAGGCACATTCTGTAAAACAGGTAAAAATCATACTTAGGTTCATTTTAGAAATTTGGAGCAAAGTTCTTTATAAGATAGCTATGCTAACCACTTATTGGGTAATCACGTAAAATTTTGAAAGTAATACTCCAAGCAGGTACTTCAGACTCTCAAATAAAAGGTGACATATCTCCTCCCTAGAGTAGCTTCAATGTGATAATAGTAAAATGGTTGAGATATTTTCCAAAGCTCTTCCAATATTACTGCCAAATAAAAAAAATTGTGGTGTCATAGAATACCTCAAACACGGCTTCAGTCAGAATACTTTCTAGTATAGATCTTAAGCCTTGTGCACCAGTGCTTTTGGCAACGGCAATAAGTCAAAGTGCATTCTTGGTAAACTGTAATTGACCTGTAACATCTTAACAAACATTCGAGGCAAATTGACTGATTTTGATCCAGTGCATCAGAATGGAGTAAAGAATGGCTTCTTCTTTTTCATTTCTGTCTTTTTCTCCTGCGAGTGTGTTGGGGATAAAGAGAGAGAAACTTCATTATTAAGAGGAATGAAGTTTCATTTGTTAGAGCTTAACAGCACTGAGCTAAAATCTTACATTATTCAAGTTGAACATTTGCTTGTATTGCCAGCAAAGAACATTCTTGAGTCCTGTGAGAACCTGCAGAGCAAAAGTAAGGATCCACACTAAAAGGAAAAAAAAAAGGAAGTAAAAAAGAATACGAAAGGTCAAAACCAAAAGAGAACATCAACTTCAAATATTCTCTTTCATCATCAAGCAGCCTGTAGCATTTTTACTCCTCCTGGTAGTCCAAAAATCATAAACAAAACAATTTCTCAATGCATGCAACTTGAACCTCAAAAGGACTTTTCAGAACAGGTGTAAGTGATGTTTTACAAACACACACAGCCACACACTTTCCATTTTCTTCAGTTCCCGTGCTCTATTGTCAGGTACACTTATAATGAAGAAGAAATAAAGATAAACTGAGCAAGTGAGATTAATGATCTATCAAAGTTGCTTCAAAACAGAACACATTTGAAGTTAAGGAACTGCAGACATGAAATTGTAAACATGTTTACAAGAGTAATAGGCAATTGGAACGAACAGAAGAAATAATTTGCAATAAATACTCACAAATAGATAAACAAGGATTAAATGTGCCCCTCCACGGGTGATCTCGTAGTTACTACGGGGTGGAGATGATGGGGTCGGTCCAACTTCCACTTTCAATAGTCAGAAGAAGCGCGGATGGCACCAGCCCTGATTGATTGTTTTGAAATAGGAAGTAAATCTGCTTCTCCACAGAAACTACTCAATGCAACCTTCACCAAAAATGATATTGAGTTATTCATCTTCACAACAATGTTCATACAATTATGCTGAACATCAAGGGGTCAACCTTTTTCAATCAGGTTTATTGAGTTATTGATCTTCACAACAATGTGATGATGATAATGCTCTTATGCCTAGATAGATAAAAAATGAATAAAAAAATTGAGTTTAGCACAGATGTGAAATCATTACACTCTCTTTTCTTTATATCAGTCTACGCACTTACTCCTCAATTTTTGGTTGGTTATACAGGCTCTTCAATAATCTCAAAACCACTGGACCAACTACTCAGCTAGTTCCTTGTTAGACTGGTCAAATTTACCCATCACCTTTCTACAGTTCTTCACATCTAAAAACTGATAAGTTAATTGCAATTCTAGAGGACGGTTTTAAATGTTTCTCCTATGTGTGCTTACCTTCTATTTGCAGCTGCAGTACTCTCCATGCACAATTAGTTTTCAGTTTTTTGCAGTAGAATTACGCAGCTGCTTCCATATTCCAATTAAAAATCATATTTACTCGATTAGGTCTATAATTTCTATATGGTCATCAAATGGACACACATAAATCAACTAGAAAAGAACATACGTAAGTACTTTTAGGAAACCATAAATGGAAACACAGAAATCAACTAGGAAAAAACACACAAATCAACCAGAAAAGAATACAGATAAAGTACTTTTAGGCAACCAGCTAGTGCACATCTACCATGTCATTCATATTATATCAAATTGCAATGCTAGAAGAAGCATAAAATATCAGTTTGTCATCTGTAATGTGAAATGATATTGCAAAATCACCAAGCCGATAGCGTCAGACCCCCCCTTGTGTCAGACCCTCCCCCCCCTTCTTCTTTTTTTTTTTTCTAGTAAGAACCATTTCTTATCTTAAACTACCAATATCGCAACTCTTCTCTGAAGTACCGTTAATGAAATAAGCTAACTAAGCAGATGCTGCATGAATAAAATGAAAAAAACTTCAAATGATATGAAAGTGTCATGCATACCTCAAGTAATTTGTATAATACAGATTCCACATCTTCGCCAACATAACCAGACTACGGTGATACAGAGGGATAAATATTCATTATTTTAATGATTCTAATAGAACGAACAAATAAAAAGGTAAAATAAACTAAAATTTTATTTGACCTCCTTGGAAAAACAGCTTTACTCAAAGATCGTCCACACTTACATGAAACAACTAAAGATAGAAAGCATAGGCCAACATAGCTCAACGGTTTGGCAAGATTAAACAAAAGTAAAATTTGATTGACTGCCACACAACCAGACACGTCTTTTAAAATACAAGGACAAATGTATTTAACAATTTTCTGATCAATACTAAATTAGATGTGTGAGCGGCAATTCGACAAGTAGACGACATTTTATAGTTATCAGACCATACTGTAAACACTTTGAAATATTTCTATCAAAGAAGAGAGTCCAAAATTATCAGCAATCTCTCCTTTTCTACCTCTTTGAGACATATGTGGGCTGAAATGACTAGGTCTTAGGGCCATGTCATCATTGACGTCATGATTTTATAATATATTGATAAAATTCATTAGAAGGAGGTCAAATATATGCCAGAATACAAGTAGTATATCAAAAAATGGAAAACCTAACAAAAAGAAATGGTTTTCAATGAACGACGCCCTATCTTCAATACATATAGGAACCTGATGGGTGCAACGAAAGAGGCTATTTTTCAGGTGTACCAAGCTAACACATACATGTGCCAAACATTTCTTTAGACGATTATTGTTATTTGCTTTAATTTCCTCATCCACCATTACAACTAATTGCTTTTCCGACGCAGTGAACAAGAATAACACAAAGCATGCTTTATCAAAACAAAAACAAATGTATGCCCATTGTGCGGGTTTCTCAGGGTCGTGAAAATTGTCAACTCAAAGTATCACCTATTCTCAAACACAGTCTACAGAAGAAAGGAATGATAGTTTGCAACAGATATGTTCTATATGTGAGAATAGATAGGATTATTTGAAAACCTTTGTCCATTGTAAAGTTACGTCTTAGCAATGGTCGATCTTTCTGATATACTAGAAGTGAATTGGTGCACTCTGAATCCCAAAAAAGAGCTACTGTTATATTGGAACAGAGAGGCATTCACAAAGCTGCAATGCCCCTTTAAACTCCATACCAAAAACCATATGGTGGATAGAAAGAATCTGCGATATTTTGAGAAAACAAGAGAACATTTCAGACGAAAAAACAGATGTATCTTGATTAGCTTTTTGGAGCAAAAACGTAGTTGTACGGGAGATGCAGAAGTTTTTCAGTTCACTCCATGGTACTAGAATAGCTCTATAGTAATAGGGGCTAACAGGGTTTCTTTTGCTTCAAAAGCCTACTGGCTTTTGCTTTTGTAATTTGTCACCTTCCAGTCGCCAAATATCAATGACAACATCTTACTTCCTCTAAAAAATGAAATAAGTGAGTTAAGTTTTTGCTTTATACTGGATACTCCAAGCACACACTTGAAGCTACAGTTAATAAAACCCTCTTTGACTTGTAAACAAAGTATTGCCCCAGTTCAAAGTAATTAACGAGATAATTCGTGAGAGAACAAGCAGATAAATTTTGGTACAGCAGTTGAACACCTACCTGCTTGATATTTTAGAAACAAAAAATAGGAAGTCTCTTTTTTTCCCCACAAACGAATGATTCAATATAGAGAGAAAGCAATATTACTCATCATGTATTCTTCTTATGTGTTATGTCAGATTAGTCCTATCATGTAAAACTCAATCATTTTGTTACTTCAACGAGTTAGCCCCTGGGGACTTCAGTCTAGTGGTAAGAGTACAATGTGTGATGTGTGGGTTTGGCGACACCAAAAGTTCAAATCTCGGTGCAAACAAGAGTCTGGTATTAAGTGGGGTAGGACCTAACGAACAATTTCGAAGTATGTTGTCCTAAAGAACACCCCCCCCCCCTTTTCTGAAAGGTAGAAGAATCGGAGCAGACTAAGGCATGAGTTCGATCATATTTTATTTGTTATTGTTGAGTTCTTCATAAGTGAAAATCTACACAACTTAGAACTATATCAGGAAAAGACGGAAAATGAAATAGCACTGAATCAACTCGAAGTGAAACATTATTGCATACCTTCCTGTGTTATAGTTGTTGCGTCCAAAGTACAAAAGGAACATTGATGAGATGAGCTAGCATTTTTGCAAGTACTTTCATAGGCTTTCATTCACAGAAACACTAGTTAGAACACAACAACCAAATAAGTCTATTGACACTAAGATTCTTATGGATAGATGAAGTAGATACCATTTCTTCTAATAAGGTTGTAATTTGTTAATAATGGAAAAAATTTCCATAAACCAGTACTAAATGCAAAGTACAGAAAGTACAACATAATATGGTGCTCTACAAACTGGCACCCAATCTTCAATACAAAATGAAATTTCATTGATGCATCAAAAAGAAATTAGGAATGAGGGGCTAATTCCTCAAACTAGAAATCAGATATCATATCTGAGTCAGTGGGGACCATCAGTAAAACATTGCTCTCCACTAATTCGACCCAATTATTATCAATATTTCATAGCTCATCTCTAACTTTACCGGAATCTGACTTGACATCAGTACTATCAGTTATTGATGAATACTAAGAGCCTCCCGTACTATCAGTGACCAAAACAATTAAATCTACTCTGTTCTTCCAAAACACACTACTTCAGTTTGCTTTCAACTTTTCTTCTTATGCTTACTGTTTCTGACTTCTGTAATAAGTAAAGCAAAACAGATTCACCAGTGAAATAGCCTAGGCCTAAACTAGTGCTGTCATTATGAAAAAGGAGGATCACTGCAGAAAATCAGATCTGCCAATAATTTTTGAAACTTTTCTTTTTTGAAACTAGATCTGCCAATAATTATAAAAGATAAGTATAACTATACGCATAGTTACCACAGATCATCTGCAATATATGCTACATTAAGAAGTATTTGTATACAAATGTTTGCAAGGATTACTTATCAAAGAACTCGAGGATTTTCTACTACTCATTCACCTTGAACCAAAAGCAATCTGCTAAAATGAATACAAAGTTTTTTCTATACCATATGTTTTTAGTGCTTTGACCAGCATTTTAATAATTAAATGGTGCTTAGGATGAGAAATTACAACAGATTTAGGTGAAGCAAGATGATAGCTGTCGACCAAACTATTGGACAATGTCAGAATCGGAATGCAAATTGTTCCATCTTCCATGCTCCAGTTGCAAAGGCCATAATGAACATGGTCCCTTCTGATGCTAAAACACTGAAAATAGTACCCCTGAAACTCCTCTTGCATATTAGCACTAGAATTAGGCATAGGCATCGCCAAAGAAGAAAACAACCATCAAAGTGGAAAATTCGCATAGACATTGTAAATACTTGAACATAATAAACTACTAAAGCAAAAGAATATCAATTACATTGTTGAATGCCAATCAAGAAACATCAAGAAGTCAAATTCTTTATATAAATCCCTAAAGAACCTAAGACAATATACAGTAGATATCATAAGAAAATCTTGAAATAGCAGTAAGAAAATCCATCAAAAAATGAAGAAGAAGAGAGGAAGCTTACTTGAAGACAAAGACAACACACACTGATTATTAAAAATAAATAATACCATCCAATCTTATAGAAGCAGGCATTCAACTCTTGGTAAATTTTAAAGGGGAAAAAAAAGCAACAAAGAACCCAGTAATCTCTTTGATCCAAGTACTTCACCATTAAAGATTCCACAATCAGTTACAACCCTAGAGAAAAGCCTAAAAGTAGTTAAAACATCCATCAGACAACTGTAGGTACCATACATTCTTCACTAAAGAAAAGACATAGTACAATCTTGTTAAAAATTCACATAAACATTGTAAATTCAGAACATAACAGACCAAAACCAAAACAATATCAATTACTGATGAATTCCAATCAAGAAACATCAAGAAGTCAGATTCTCCAACATAAAGCCCTAAAGAACCTAAGACACAATTAAAATACAGTAGGCATAAGAGAATTTTGAAATAGCAGTACGAAAATCCATCAAGAAAAAAGAAGAAGAGAAAGCTTACATGAAGAACCCAGACATCTATTTGATCTAATCAAGTACTTCACCATTGCAGATTTCACAAACATTTACAACCCTAGAGAAAAGCCTAAAATTAGTTACCAAGATATCCATCAGACAACTATAGGTACCATGCATTCTTCACTACAGAAAAGACATTGTAGAATCTTGGTAAAAAATCACAAATACAATGTAGAATCATGGTGAAAAATCACAAAGACATTGTAGAATCTTGGTGAAAAACACAACGACATTGTAATCTTGGCAAAAATCACAAAGACAATGTAGAATCTTGGTGAAAAACACGAAGACATTGTAGAATCTTGGTAAAAAAACACAAAAAAACATAGTAGAATCTTGACGAAAATCACAAAGACATTGTAAATTTTTTAACATAACAAACCAATGAGGTAAAACAATATCAATTACGAAATCCATCAAGAAGTCAAATTCTCCAACATAAAATCCTAAGGAACCTTAAGACACAATTAAGCCTAAGACAAAACACATAAAAACCTAAGAACCTAAGCTTCATAAGAAAAATCCATTGGAAGAGAGAGAGAGAAGGCTTGTGTGTTTCTTTCAGTTTAGCGAGAAGGACCACATATATATACATTTCAAAATTCTACAAAACAATTATTTCCGCGGGTTCAATAATTCAGATTTTAAAAAATATATATGTAATTAATCATTATTTGAATTATCATTTTTTTGTCTTTTTTATAAAAAAAAAATAATGACAAAAAGGTTGGGAAGAAAATTATATAAATTCGTGTTTGCTCTTTTATTTGTCATTTGTTCTGCATAGTTAGATAAACAAAAATCTGTCATCGGAATGAAAGCAAAACGAGGTTTGAAACTCGAAAAAAAAAAAGAAAGACAAAGTAGTGCTAAATTAGGAGAAATGTTGGGCAAACTAAAAGGCATTCATTAGACTAACTAATGAAGCAACAGAGACGATGAATCCTGTAGACATGATCGCTGAATTCATTAAGAAAAGATGAAACTCGTAATTATGTATGTTAGTCTTGGACTCTGAAGAATAATTCATGAAAATGACTCCCCCCCCAAAAAAAAAAAGGTTGAAGGATTAATTCATAATTCATTGTCTGAAAAAGTCCAGGCAAACTGAAATGGTAAAAAATTATGTCAAGGATTCAGCATTTTAATGTTGGACATTAGCAATATGTCAAGGATTTCAGCTTTTAAATGTAGGCTAAAGTCGTCAGGCTAGAGAAGATAAATATCGCAGTCAGATGAACAAAAATAGCTATCGCTGCACCAGCTCAACCATCCTTAGTTAACTTCGAAACTCGAAAAACCTTCGCTAGACAAGATAAAGAAGAAACATCACTACTGCATCGGTCCTTTCTGATGCTTGAGTGATTAATTTCTTGAAAATAGCTACTGTACAAATGAAGCTGCTTGAACTTGAACTAAGCTCATGCACTCATTCCTTGGAATTAAGGGTACATGGAGTTGAGCGAGTATTTTCATGAATCACTGACATAACCAAAGCTCTAACTAATCTCCAAAGAGAGATGATGTTCTATTATGATTGGAGAACGCAGTGTCCAACTTATGCAAAATCCATACATATATCTACTGTTGCTGCAGAGAAAAGGAATAAGAGGGCGAGCATATCAAAGAAAAACTCACCATACAATTACAACATAGAATCCCTCCTTAACACTGTTTCCAATTCAAACTAACCAATCGTGTTGCATCAAATAGGAATGAAAACGGAACTGCATAGTTTTTAGCATCGTCCTGGAAGTCAAAATGGATTCGATCGGGTATCCGGGGGAAGAGCCTGTCGAACTTAATATAAAAAAACTCAACCGGAGTTCAAAAATCCAGGTTTACAAAAAGCCTTCTTTTAAGAAAAAGGAACCCCAACTAGCTTTGCATGTCTGACAATACTTTATATACAAGAATTCACACAAAAAGAAAATTGAGAAGTAACAGACCACTGAGATCACAAACTCAAGGCTCTTGCCGGAGCCTCAGACTCTGAGTCCAAGTCTTCTTTGGTTGCTTCTTTCTTTTCCTGAAAAAATAGCAAAATCACTCAAGAAATTTACACTTAGCAATCCTTCCAGAGAAATCTAAAGCAAACAGTTCTTTGATTCACACATTTTCCCACTTATTGACCAAGATTCAGTAAGTTCATACAAACACAACTGGCGATCATAATAATGACGGGTTGATGGCAAGTTGCTTAAAATTGCTTATCTATGAAAGGAGACGTACCATTGTCATTGAAGATCCAGTAGTAGGGGAGATATTCTCCAGCCCACTGCTACCACAAAGAATTTTTGCTCCACATCCAATTGTATCAGCTGTTCCGACAGCCTCTTCATCAACCAAGACAACCTCTACAGATTCCTCGCCTGGCTTGCTTCCAGGAACCTGTGCACAATATCCCAGGATATGGTTTAGAAGAACAGCTGTGGCATGCACAAAGGATCCTCTGAGTGCCATGTGACCGAAAAAGCACAAGGATCATGACAGCTATGTAAAGATATTTCACTGAGGCACCGTTTGGGAATGTGACGCGTTTGGCAAGAAAAAAACAATTCCTCAGGTATTTTCTAGTTGATTAAAAATACATTTAGTCATAAAGGTTTGAGAGAAAAGCACTTTAATAGAACTTCTGGAGTTTTCGAAACCAATATTTAGGCACATTCCAATTAACAGGTAAAGATCATGTTTAGGTTCATTTTGAAAATTTGGAGCAAAGTTCTTCGTAAGATAGGCCAACCACTTATGAGTGCTCACGAAAATTTTGGAAGTAATTCACAAAGCAGGTATTTCAAACTTCCAAATAAAAGGTGATAGATCTCCTCCCTTGTAGCCTCAATGCGATAAGAGTAAAATGGTGAGATATTTTACCAAGCTCTTCCAGAATTAACGCCAAATAAAAAAGTTGCAGTGTCATGCAATACCTCAAACATGGCTTCAGTCAGTATACTTTCTAGTATAGATCTTAAGCCACGTGCACCAGTGTTTTTGGCAATGGCTTTCTCAGCAACAAGTCGAAGTGCATTCCCGGTAAACTGTAATTTGACCTGTACCGTCAAAACAAACAATTTCGAGGTAAATTGATTGATTTTGATCCAGTGCATCATAACGAAGTACTATGTTTTTTCAAGAATGGATTCTTGTTCTTCTCTTTACCATATTCTAGCGAGAGTGTTGGAAAAAAAGAGAGAGAAACTTCCTTTTTAAGAGGAATGAAGTATCCAACATTAAAGCTAAACAGCATTGAGCTAAAAGCTTACATTATTCAAGTTGAACATTTGCTTGTATTGCTTGCAAAGAGCATTTTTGGGTTCGGTGAGAACCTGCAGAGAAAAAATAAGGATCCACCACCAAGAGGAAAAGAATGAAGTAAGAAACAATACGAAAGGTGAAATGCAAAAGAGAACATCAACTTCAAATATTTTCTTTCATCTTCAAGCAGCCTATTACTTTTTTTCTTCTTTTCCTGGAAGTCTGAAAATTATAAACAGATATTTCCCAATGCATGCAAATTGAACCTCAAAAAGACTTCACACAAACACACACTTCACATTTTCTTCAGTTGGTTAACTTCTCTATCCCACTAGATATGATTTTGTTATTGACTTCTCTATCCATGTATCAAGTATTAACTATTAACATATGTTATGGTCCCCTGTTATGGATCTAGTTATGAGACGCTGCAAGATAAAATCTAAAGTTTTCTTTTTTCTACCTATGGTGCTGGTGCGTTAAGAGAGAACCTACGATCTCTTGAGTTTGAAGTACTCAAAAACTTGACTGATTTTCTGCTTAACATTTCACTGAAATCAAATACATTAAATACAACACTGAAAAAAAAGGAAATAATTGTCTACTGCCTACTACAACTGCCTAATACAACTGAATGAGAAAGTGGAGGAATAACCTCCTTACTGCAACAACTGCTACCTATAAATAGGAAAAATAAATAACTAAAAAGTTGTAATAATCTACTACAAAAACAGCTGGACAGAAATAAATAACTTATAAGCTGAAGAATTCTACTTTCGAATTTCCTTAAATACTCCATGTGTAGACCATTGGTAGACTAAAAGGGTGCTAACAACATACTACTGTAAGATTAAAGCATTTAACTAGGCCAAGGTACTTAAAATCAGATATTTGAATTATAGGCTACACATACAAGAATGAAGAGTACTTCAGATCTAGACTATAAATGCAAAGAATCCTAAAGCATGAAGGCTTATTTGATGAATTTGATAATGTGATTGTTGGCACGCGGCAGCAGCATCTTAAGCTCCAACCCAGAGGCACAAGATGATTTTACTGATGTCTACAAGGAAACAAGGATCAAAGAAAGAGAGTGATGGCAAATATTGGAAGAGGGTCCCTACAACAGAACATATCGAGTTTACTATTTAAGAGTTCATGATAGCACCTAAAAGCAAAAGGAATAATTCCCAAAGTTTCACACCCAATCAATCAATCAAAACCACATTTAAAAATCAGGGTGTAATTCACTCTTGTTGGGCCCATTTCAATAAGACTTCATCAACGAATACTATGAGGATTCATCATCATTTGACTATTTTTAAGTTGGTCATCGACCTCCTTAGCACAGTTGGAGTTCCAAAAAGCCAATTATATCAGGAAAACGTGAAACTAGAAACTACATTGCCAAAGGGCAAAAAGAGTAGACAAACCTGAACAAGCTGATCCACATCAAGGGAAGATAAACTCACTAAAACTGGAAACCGTCCCACAAATTCAGGTATGAGTCCATATGAAGTGAGATCATCACTTTCTACCTAGATACAGAAAGCAATGTCAAATAAATGCTTCCAATGCATTTGGTTTCTAGAATTTTACGAGAACAAAAGACTCATTAGATCTACAAAATAGTAATCCAGAAAAGAAAACTACGCTCAAGTCACAGGGATCTCCTCACAGATTCCAAAAGTGATGATGTGACTACAGCATCAGTTAGACCACCAGCTCTCATGTTAGTACGAACAGGTGCTCCAAATCCGATTGAAGAATCTTGTCGTCTGTGAAAGGAATGATAAGTTTAACTATAATATATCACTTCACGTAAATGTGTTCCATGAAATTAATTGAGTTTGACAGATTACCTTTCTGAAATTGTCTTCTCTAAACCAACAAAAGCTCCACCACAGATAAAAAGGATATCTTTAGTATCTATCTGCAAATTAGTATATAAAAAATATAAAGAACTGTCAGCATCTAGAAAGAACAGTGATAGTAATTTCCAGCTCGTTACAACTTTACATCCTTCGTAGATGATTGCTGCAAGGTATATAAACCAGTATTTGACTCGACTTCCCCCTCCCAACATATGTGTAGTTTAGATGAAGACTTCCTGTTTATGTTTTGTTGAATAGGTCAGTGACTGACATGTCATTTTCCTTGGTCAAACAATCTTTCCCAGCAGAGATTTGATTTCCACCCCTAACTTAATCAAATTGGTTCTAAAAGCACAAAACTATATGATCATCCAAATAGCAAGATGCAAGTGCTTGTCCCACAAAACTGTTAGCCTGCAATTTTCAAAGAGAAAAAGTAGATAAAAGAGGCCTTAATAGATTCAGTGTACCTGAATAGTATCGCCACGTGGATGCTTCCGTGCTCTATTGTCAGGTACACTTACGATCTGAGGAAGAAATAAAGATAAACTTAGCAAGTGAGATTATTTATCTCCGAAAAATGATTCAAAAGAGAACACATTTGAAGTCACAGAACTACAGACATGAATTTATAAACATGTTTACAAGAGTAATAGGCAATTGGAACAAACAGATGAATAATTTGCAATAAACACTCACTGTTCCTTCAAGCATCTTCAGCAGCGCCTGTTGGACGCCCTCCCCAGATACATCTCTGCCAATGTTCAGGCTCTCAGCCTATACAAATGACTGATGAGAATGATTACTTTAAAATCAATAATCCAAATTCATAAAGTAGATGATGGTTTTTGTACCTTTTTGGTTATTTTATCAACTTCGTCAATGTAGACAATCCCTTGCTGAGCTGCTTCGATATTGAAGTCAGCAGCCTGCAAACAATCATGTACACCAAAAATTTATAATTGAATAACTATGCTGCTAATAGTGCAAAAGTGAAGAGATCACAAAAGAGAAACCATGCATAGTCTACTTGACAAGGAGATAGGAAGTCAACTTGCTTCCACACAGAAACAATTTAATGCAACCTTCATCAAAAAGAAACTATCCCAATGCAACAATCAGCTGAACCAACCTTTTCAATCAGGTTTTCTCCAGTTCCACAACAATGTGATAATGATAACTCTTACATCTAAACAGATAAAAATGAAAATGAAAAACGATTTTTGCACAAATGTGAAATCATTGTGACTACTTTGGAAATCATTAACCTCTTTTATCCATATCAGTGTACATTCTTTTCACTCGAATACTCCAAAAACTGTGCCACAACTGAACAAATTAAACATGCTAGAAAAAGTCAAACTCTGTAGCATATTCAGAAAATTTAATTTTTAGTTTGACATAAGCTCCTTAAAGTTTGATTCGTTACACAGGCTAATCAATCATTTCAAAACCAGTGGACCAACTATCCAGCTAATTCCTTGTTAAACTAGACAAATTTATCAATCACCTCTTTGCAATTCTTCAAATCTAAAATCTGATAAGGTAATTGCAATTCTAGGAGCCAGTTTTAAATGTTTCCCCTCCTACATGATGACCTTATATTTGCAGTAGCAGTACTTTACATGCACAATGATTCTGTTTTTTAGCCGTAGAGTTACTCAGCTGCTCCCATACTCCAATTAAAAATCATATTTACTCTACTAGGCTTACAGCCTTATTACTTTCTGAATGGTCATCAAATAGAAGCAAGATTTTAACACCAAAAGAATCAGGAGCAGTAACACCGAAGCCATCAAGATTTTTGCACCGAGACCAATGGTATATCAGAAATACTTAAGTCCGAAAGAACATTTCCAAAGATTTTATTTTATTTTTATGACAAGGGAAACCCGCAGCTGCTACATTTGGGTGCCCACAAGGTAAAACCCCAGTTCTTATCTGAAACTCTCAATATCACTGTTCCGCTCTGAAGTAACGTCAATGAAATGAGCTAACTAAGCAGATCGGGCATGAATAGAATGAAAAGGAACTTCAAATGCTATTAAATCATAATGCATACCTCGAGTAATTTGTATAATACGGATTCCACATCCTCTCCAACATAACCAGCCTACAGCGTTAAGAGGGATAAATACCTCATTATTTCAATGACACTAATAGAACTAATAAAAAGGTAAAATGAACTAAAATACCACTTCACCACCTTGGAGAAGCATGTTTACTTAAAGATGGTCCACACTTATGTGAAGCAACAAAGTCAGAAAGCTTAGTCCAACAGAGCTCAACGGTTTGGCAAAAGATTAAACAAAAGTAAAATTCAATTGACTGCCCACAACCAGACTAATATCTTTTAAAATGCAAGGACAAAAGTATTTGACAATTTTCCGATCAATACTAAGTGTGCAGCAATCTGAATAGTAGACTACATTTTATAGTTATCAGACCAAAGTTTAAGCACTCAAAAATACTTCAATCGAAGAAGCTAGTCCATAATTAACAACCATCTCTCCTTCTGGCCATGTGAATATTGAAGTCATGATTGTTTAAATAAAGTAATAAAATTCATTAGAAGAAGGGCAATTATGTACCCGAATACAAGAAGTACAGCAAAAAATGGAATACCTTATAAAACAAAAAAAAATTCTATGCATAACACCCAATCTTCTCTACTTAAAGGAAAGGGCGCAACAAAAGGAAATATGGGCAAAGAGGCTATTCTCAGGTTGTTACCAAGCTACCATATACATGTGCATAACATTTCTTAGAGGATTATTGCTATTTGCTTAAATTTCCTCATCCTCCATGACAACTCATTGCTCTTCTGATGCAATGAATAAGAGGTAATGAGAAATAATAGAAAGTATGCTTTGTCAAAACAAAAACAATATGTATGATCATTGTCCAATAATAGAAAGTGTGCTTTATCAAAACAAAAATAAAATGTATGATCATTGTCCTGGTTTCTTAGGGTTATAAAAATTGTGAACACAGAGTATTCCCTATTCTCAAACACATTCTACAGAGGAAAGAAATGATAATTTGCAATAGATATGTTCTATGTGAGGAAAGATAGGATGATGTGAACACTTTTATTCATTGTAAAGTCACATCTTAGCAATGGTCGATCTATCTGAATACACTAGAAGTGAAATGGTGCATCCCTGAATTCCCAAAAGAACTACTGTTATATTGGAACAGAAGAGGCCTCCACAAAGCTACAAAGCCCCTCTGGTACACCATACTAGAAACCATATGGTCGATCATACGGAGAGAAAGAATCAGCAATATTTCGAAGAAAACAAGAGAACATTTTAGACGAAAATTCAGATGTATCTTTATTAGATTTTTGGAGCAAAAAAGTAGTTGAACGGGAGATGCAGAAGTTTTTCAGTTCATTCCATGTGCAATAAGTTAGTTAAGTTTTTGCTTTGTACTGCATACTCCAAGCACACACTCAGTGCTACAGTTAATAAAACCCTCTTTGACTTATAAAACAAAGTATATTCCCCCAGTTCAAAATTTAGGAGATAATCTGTGATAGAAAATAACAGAAATTTTGATATTTGATCACCAGCAGTTGAAGATCCACCTGCTTAATTTTTTAGAATACAAAAAATAGGAAGCCTGTCATTGTTCCCATAAACAAATGAATTATAGAGAATGAGAGCCATATTCCTTCTTGTGTAATCTTCTTATGTGTTATGTCAGATTTAGTCCAGACACATAAAAGTCAATCATTAGATAATTTCAACAAGTTAGCCTCAGGGACTTCGGTAACAGCACAATGTGTGATGTGTGGGTTAGGCGACGCCACAAGTTCGAATCTTGGCAAAAACTTTTGCCTGTTACCAGATATCAAGTAGGGAAGGACCTAAGGAAAAAAATTGAAGTATGATGAGTGGGTTTGCCTTGTGTAATCTTCTTATGTGTTATGTCAGATTAGTCCAGACACGTAAAACTCAATCATTAGATAATTTCAACAATTAGCCTCAGGGACTTCGGTAACAGCACAATGTGTAGGCGACGCCACAAGTTCAAATCTTGGCAAATAACTTTTGCCTGTTACAAATATCAAGTAGGGAAGGACCTAAGGAAAAAATTTGAAGTATGTCCCCCCCCCCACCCCCCCTCCAAGGCAAGAGTTCAATTATCTTATATTTTTATTGTCGAGTTCTTCATCAGTGAAAAAGTATACTACTTAGAGCTATTTCAGGAACAAAGGGAAAATCAAATAGCACTGAATCAACTTGAAGAGGAAATTTATTGCAAACCTGCCTGTGTTAAAGTTGTTGCGTCCGCAATTACAAAAGGGACATTGATGAGACGAGCAAGTGTCTTGGCAAGTAATGTTTTCCCTGTCCTTTCATTCACAGAAAACACAAGTTAGAACACAATGACCAATTAAGTCTATTGAAACTAATATTCTTATCGATAGTTTCTTTCTAATAAGGCAATAATTTGTTAATAACAGGAAAATTTTCCATAAACTAGTACTAAATTCAAAGTAGATAATGTAAAACATAATATGGTTCTCTACATAATGTCAGCCAATCTCGTATACAAAATTAAACTTCATTGGTGTACCAAAAAGAAACTAGGAATGAGGGGCTAATTCCTCATTCCTCAAACTAGAAATCAGATATCATACCTGAGCCAGTGGGGCCCATCAGCAAAACATTGCTCTTCTCTAATTCGACCGAATCATTATCAATATTTTCCAGCTCATCTCTAACTTTACGAGAATCTGACCTGACATCAACATCAGTACTATCAGTTATTGATGGATCCTAGTAGCCTCTGGTACTATCAGTGACCAAAACAATTAAATCTACAATGCATGTTCTACCAAAACACACTACTTCTGTTTGCTTTCAATTTTTCTTCTTATGCTTACAGTTTCTGTGATAAGAAGCAAAACATATTCACAAATCACAAGTGAATAGCCAAGGACTAAGCTAGTTCTGGACGTTGAAAGGGAGGATCACAGCACAAAATCAAATCTGCCAGTAAGTGGAGGAAGCACATCCTAAGGAGAAACCAAAATAGCTCCTGATGTTGTTTGAGACAAGCACTAAATAAGTAGAACAAACAAGTTCTAGATGGGATGGCCTATCATAGGATCAAACTTTCCACTGAGGGGTGACATCTTCACTAGTACACATGTTATCGAGATGATATGTCATTTAACAGCGTATATTTACTCACTTTTTATTCAAAGAGGAGTGGTATATTCTTTTATAATGGTTGTAAACTGCAACAGAAAGCACCTGCAGAATGTAGCATATCACGTCAGTAAGAACCAAAGTTGAATATCCCGGCAGAAATAGACTTGCTAACCTTCTTGGCTCTCTCTTGCCCAACAACAAACTGATCAAGGCCTTTACATATCTCCTTTGGTGTAAGCAACTCAATCCCCAAATTAGTACCTCCCCACCCTTCTTCCTTTCTCGCCTCCGAATCCTTCATTTCAGTTTCACAAGTACCCTGTCCACCATCATCACTACCATTGGTCCCACTATAAGACCTCAACTTTTCCCAAATCTTGCCATCATTCTTCCCAGAACTCCCAGCCATTTCATCGTCACTCTCCTTTTCACCTCCCTTAACCCTCCCAATCTCAATGAAAGTCCCTTGCAAAGGCTCCAACTTAAACGGTCTAAAGTAAAACGCTGTCCGGCAATGAGGACATAAATTCACCGCCTGGTAAATACCAGTCTCCCCGGCGGTGATCGACAACGGCCTGTTAGAGAATAACACTGTCATCATCTTCGAACAGCGTGGGCAGTTCACCTCTGATTTTATGTGATCGTAGTTGTCGGAACTTCCCTCCCATTTATGCCTAAACCCTAACCCTAGTCTAGAACCCTCGAACCTAAACACTAGCCCTACTCTAGAACCTTCAAGTGGGTTGAAGAAGAGCGAGGGTTTTCTTCTAGGTTTGAGAGAAGAGGAAGAAGTAGAGGAATGAAATTTGGAAGACGATATGGAAAAAAGAGATGTTCTGAAGGTGAAAGAATGGAGCTTTGATTTGTATCTGAATATGGCAGACATTTGTTAAGCCTTCTTCTTCTTCTATGGTTCTTCTGAGCTCACTCACGAGCATTTCAATGGAGGTTTCACGACGGCCAGTGAATTGATGTGGCGGAGTTGTGGAACAAAATGGGTCATCCGATACCCGCCCCGAGTCTCGAGTGTTGGCCCAATAGGCCTTTTTGTTGTGTTTTTCGAACGGTCAGTGTTAAAATAGAACTTAAATGGGCTTTATTAATCCCAATTCCCTTATGAAAGAAGAGGATATATCTGACATATTGGAAAATTACACCGAATAACAAATATTTACCCTATATTAGATATTATAGCTATAATTTAAGAAAATTATAGTTTGTGGCTAAGTATCCCAATCTTTGCTATTCGCATAATTTGTATAAATTCATAATTTGTATAATTCAATTTTTGATTGTATAAATTATATATTTTCTCTAGCTATTTGTAGACAATTTATGAAAATTTATAATATATTACCATTATTATATATTAGCAAGCGAAATATAACTCTGAAAAAATCCTAAATGTATAAATAAATAATTTGTATATACTCATCTTATTTATATATTCGCAAACAAAATATTACAAACGGACCAAACATATACAAACCTCCATGACAAATAGAATTAAAGATACAACAAATAATCAAAACTATAATTATACAGCTTTATTATGCATATTATGTTTGTTATTTCTAAAATCTTATCTAACTTTATTATACCAATAAATAGTAGATTTTTTTTTGGAAAATTTATAGTGCAATGGATTGGACTTTGGACCATTTAATTTACAAAACTTGGTACACAATGTTATACATACTATTATATACGAAAAATATATATAGCGTATACTTTGGCCATGTTTGAAAAATTAGACGATCCAAGTGTAAATTATTCTGCGAAGATTTTGCATAAAATTTATTATTGGTTTTAATCATTAAATTGTTTTGTAATTTATAAAATTATATGCTTAATTACAGCATATTTGTAAGTGGCTGCTCCTAATATTTGAAGAGCAGAACTATAATTGTTCATCACTTCTTAATCCATCGCAAGTTTAATTGTATCTGACGACAATAACAATATACTTTTTCCGTCAACTTTTAATAGTCATATTGCATTTTTCGAAAGTCAATTTGACTTATTTTCAAAGTAAAACTAAATTATATTAATTCAATATTTGAAACCAAAAAAATTTAGGTATATAATAACTATACAAAAAATACTATAAATTGCAATTTTTTGCATATCAATATGATGAAAAAAATACATCCTAACATATTAGTCAAAGTACTTATCGTTTGACTCATAAAAATATATGACAATTAAAGATAAACGGAGTTGATACTCAATATAATTCCATAAATACGGTTAGTAGAGTGTGGGTGTACACATATGTTACATATCTTTGTAACTATTTAAGTTAGTCCAACGGAAAATATTTTCCATTTGTTTAAATTATGTAAACTATATGGAGTTGAGTTATAGAATAGCTAAGTTTTCTTCTATTTGGGGTTGAGCGGTAGAAGAGTTAAAGTTTGAAAATTTAGGTTTTTTGAAACTTAGAAATTGTGTTAGGACATAAGTTTTATTTGAAGTTTTTGCGAGCTTGAGTGAAACTTCTCATAAATGTTCATATAATATAACAATAAAACTTTCATGATCAAACAAGTATCTGAAGATAAATTTCCATGATCTAATCTAAAATATATGATCACACGCTAAGTTAAACTACGTTGAATTTATAGTTCCTCTTTGTCTACTTTATTATTTGAGATGGTGTAACCCCTCCACCTGCCAGTACTCCTTTATTCTTTCTCTACTACTACACTTGAGGAACAAACTTTTTTTTTATTATTATTATTATTTTCTTTCATCAAAAGGCATGGAAGTAGTTGATTGGTCTAAACATGAAGAGCGTTTGAAAATTAAAGTTAAAACCAATTTGGGAATTTTTTCTAAAGTAATGGACCACAAAGAATTAATAAGGTAATGCAAAGAAGAATGCAATATGATATATGGTCACATATAAGTCTCTTATAAATATAGCTGGAAATAACATATTTGATTTCAGTTTGTGTAAAATATATTTATTATGTTCATGGTCCATATTTGTAAATTATATTTATTATGTTTATGTTTGTCTATCTGAGACTTTAAAGCCCTTTACAAGGTGTGATCATGGAAAAGTCTAAAAACAGAACAATTTGTAGCTTAGAGAGTTCAAATTTATTTCACCATAAGTTTTGGGAAAAGTGAATAATTCATAGCCTTGTTTTATGTTGTTGCTTTGACAAAAAACGAAAGACAGAATTTGAGATCTATGATTTAAGGATTTAATTTTTTTTATAAGTTACTGAAAATTAAAATAGATCAATTTCGATTTATTATTTATTTTAGAACGTTGAATTGATATTTCTCTTGTTTGATTACTTATTTTAGGATAAGATAAGATATATTTGATCAAAATAGAATAATAATTAGTTATTTGGAGATAAAATTACAAAAATGATAAGAAAACTCCTTAAATCTTTTTTTCTCCTTTATAGGGTAAAAAATATTTTTATAAATAATTTTTTTTCAATTAAAATAAAATTAATTTTATCATAACTTATCTTTAAACAAAAAAGAAAAAACTATACGACACCAAACAAATATATAGTACTCATTAATTTTTTAAGATAAATTTCTGTTTATTTTTTTGGGGGGGTCCGGTTAATTCATATTTTTTGGAGGATTGGTTCAATACAAGTGTCATCCGTACAAACAAAAATTTGGTAGTTTACTATAGTTTATAAAAATGTCTAGGGAGCAATGCAAATATATATATTAATAGTTGACTCATTAATTAGTCGTCTCAATAAAATAAAATAAAAAGTACAATTAAATATAAATCCAGTCAGCACTGGATAAATGAGATTAATAAGTTAATTAATTAAACAAAAATCCAAAACAAGCATAAGAAATTTCCAACATGGACTAGTACTACTAGACTACATATTATTATTATTTAAAAAAAAATATAAAAAAAGTCATGGAAGTTGATTTTCATTAGGAATATTAGTAGTAATATTTTTCTTGGCAAGGCTATGCTTATTGTTATGCATCCAAACTTTAAGCACTCTTCTTTTAACTCCAACTTCTTGACAGAATTGTTGCACAACCCCTTCTTCTTGTTTTTGTATTTTCCATCCAACTTTTTCAGCAAAATTGAGCATTTTATCCTTTTGTTCTTGAGTAAATTTAGTCCTAAATCTCTTTTTGACATGATGTAAGGGTCTAGCCATACCCATAATCCCACCAATATGATGATGATCTTGAATATCATGTTCTTCTGATTCAGAATTTGGAAGTGAGCCCATGTTATATGACATTATCATTTGATGATGTGGTGGCCTTGTTGGGATTATTGTACCAAATGGTTCAGGACCTAAGCTTGTTTTGTGATGGTTATGTCCTAAATACACTTTTTTTGTTGATCCTCCTCCTAATACTCTATTGTTCACATGATGAAAACAATCACAAGAAGATGCTAATTGTTGTTGATCACCTTCTACTTCTTTTCTATGGAAATTCCTATGACAATTGCAAGCTGAACAAATCAAAGCTTCAATTGTACCTTCTTCACCACTTGGCATAAATTCTCCACATCCATCTGTTGCATTACCACCCATAGATGCTGCATGGTTCTTTAGACACTCTTTGTACCTGTCCAAACATGAACACAATTAATTTGAAAATATACAAATATGTAGCATCATTTTTATAATGAGATGATTACACAATTTAGAGGTAAGCCAAAAAATGTTAGTAATGTGTTTTATTAGGTTATCAAAAAGAATTACTCTAAACACCCTTCAGTCACGTGTTACGGTTGAGATAGTCACACAATTGAGAAGCACAAGAGAGGTTTAATTTGACCACCCTTGGGACCATGTGGTCACACAATTCAACAGTATTATCTCTAAAGAGTTTAGCTCATTAAATGAATAAATTGTGGACACAATTCAACAAATATATTTGAGAAGGCAAGAGGTGTCTGTCACATACTAAGGCTAAAAAAGTGTAGGAGTGATAAACAAGGTTAGGTTAGGGAGAGGTACCATATAATAAATAGAATGTACAGGAATTTAAGAGTACCTGACTATTTTCTTGAAAGGTACATGATGATCTGCTGCAGTTGCTACTGGTGGTGCATCAATTGGAGGACCATTCATAGAAGGTGGTATAATGTGATTGGTATTGTTGGGTGGTGTAGGATCATGATGTATCAAATGTCCATATGTGCTGTTAATTGGTATTGGCATATCCTCATGATCTTGACTTGGAAGTTCCATTTCTAACCTCTTTCAAGAAAATTTTTTGTACTTATGTGGAGACCAAAAGGGACAAGATAGGAACTTATTATAATTAGTACAACCTAAGGTATAGGTGTAGCAAGAGCTATGTAGACTAAAATGATTAAAATTGAAACTAGTGGCTGACTTCAACTAGTAATGAAAAAGTAGGATAACCAAAAAAAAAAACCTAGAAGATTTTCACCACTCTTTTTTTTTAAACAACTAGGAAATAATACATTATTGACCCTCTCATGCATCATCAACATATTCATCATGGGAATGTAGAACAATTAAAGTTTGAAGCACTAATAAGATCATTGTTAAAAATTGAGTTCTTGAAAGTGAAGGAGAAAAGGGTCAAACACTTGCAAAATTGTTTTCTTGAAAAAAGACTAGAAAAGATCAAGAAGAGATTCTTTAAGATTTCAAAAGCAAGAGACAAAAACTATAAAAAATGATCAAGATTTTGTTTTCTTTTATGGGAATTAATTTTGGGGATAATATAAAATGAAAGAGATGATGAAGAAGAAGATGAGATAGACAAAAAAATAAACAAAGGAATGAAGTGAAGAGAGACAAAGGGGAAAGAGTGTTTTTGTTGTGGTTTTTGCTAGTGAGTGAAGCACTTAACATGAGCTTATAGAAGTCGTGAGGACCCTAAAAAGAGTTGGAGAGAGATAGGAGGAGAGGAAGAAAAAAAAACATTTTTATTTATTTAATGAGTTTGATTTTAATAACCCTTTTTTGTTAAAAAAAAAAAGAAGAAAAATTAGATTAATTCTAAATTAGTATAAATTAATAAACATAGTAATTAATTAAACTATATTATAATTACAAAGAATAATGTACCATTTTCACTAATTTTTAGATGGTTAGTAGTAAGTTTATCTTTTTTTTAAAAAAAATAATTTTTTTTTCTTTTTATTTTAGTGGAGAAAAATATTTTTTGGAAATTAAGAAAAAAAAAAAAAAGTGGGGTGCTTGCTTAGCTTGCACTATCAGGCACCAAAATTACGCCATATAGAGAGTGCAATGTGTCAGAGAGAGTGAGAAGGATAAAGAGAGAGACATACAGAGAATCCAATAAAGACTTTCTTAACACACAAAAAGGAAAATAAATTAATTCTTAGTACATAAAATATATAAACTCTCCTACAAGCAACCTATTTTTTTTCTTTTTTTTTTCGAAAATTTTAAAAAAATATATATATTTGAAAATAGAATAAGGTGAATATTGGTGAAAAATGCACATAAATCTAAACTGCTAGATTAAGGCAAGCAAGAAGGTGATGGTTCCATATGGAGTATGACTTTTACCTTAGGTGAATTTTCAAAAAGCCAAAGTAACTTACTCATGACAAATTCACAAAATACTTTTCTTCGTTTAAATTTGTTTGATACGTTTTGAATTTGGATAGTCAAATTTCAAGATTTCATGTCAAGTTATATATGTGATATTAGGTTTTTAGACCTAACTCACACTCCAAAAGCTAGATCAAGGGGAGGAGGATTGTCAAAACCTTATAAGGAGCCTACTCATTTCATTAATTACCGATGTTGTACTTTTGTCATTTTTTTATAATATATTAATATTATTTTCATTTTTTTTGCGTTGTTAATGTATACAATGAGTTAAATTCATTATCATTAAGTTATATATTAATATTATTTTCAATATTTTGTACGTTATTATTGTAAACAATAATTTAAAATTATTACAAGGAAGAACTTATCTAAGTATATGCTGAGAAAATAAAGTAATTTTCTTCAACCATATTACTTGAAAGTTAGTAATTAATAAATTGCAAATGACCTACACAACATAATAAATGACATATTAATTATAGTAGGTGAAAAATAAATGGATTGTGTAGTGTTTTTTTTATATTACTATTAGTGTATATTTAATTTATGGGGATGTTGATAAGATAATACTCTTCTCGTTTAATATTAGTTAATTATTTTAGTAAAGTTAGTTTTTCATCTTTTTAAATTAAAAAATAGTAATTGATTTTTCCTTGTATTACCTTTTTTATTTTTTATTTTTTTTAATTATTCATATTTATTTGTGAAAGTTTGAAGAAGTGTTTCTAAAGATTTATAAATAAAATTGTATTATTAATTATAATTTTTGTAATGTCGTGTGAAAAGGGGAAATAATATGATGGAGGAAGTAGTAATAGCAAATGCATGAAATTAATTAGACATATAAGCAACAAAGCCTTTATGTGGCTCATTACACCACTCGTGATTTATTAATTACATTTTGTATTAATGTAAATCTACTCTCTTTAAGACTAACTTTGACCAAAATATCCACTCATGCATGCAACTCATGTGAATCTTAATGACATTAACACCCTATAATTAAACTATACTTTTAAACAAGAGTATCTTTTTTTCTATTTTGTATCAATTAATTTGTCTTATTTTAATTTACCATAAAATTTAAAAAATTAAAGAAAAGAATACTATTTTCCCTTAATTTTTATACTCTTAAATTAAAATATGTGACTTGATTTAAATAGACTGATGATTCGTTGTATATGAATTTGATTAGTCCTCGGCTAAATAAAAAAGCATGTGAAAAAAATAAAATTATTCGAATATACCGCGAAAAGCAAATCAACTTTTCAATGTAATTAGTATAAGAAAACAAACCCATCATTTCATATATAGGGGAACTAATTTTTCTTTGTTTCATTAATTTTCGAGATGTGATTTTTTTATTATTGAGGCTTAAAAATATAAGCAAAAACAAGAGAAAATAAATTGGTGTGCATTTTATTTATTTAATAAAATAATAAACTTAAGTCCAGTACTACAAATAGTAAATTGCCAAAAGATTTAATAAAATTAATGAGTTTCATTTAATGTTTATTCTGTGCTGTTTGGAGTTCTATTTTCTTTATTATTTCGTTGAAAAAAGAACGGCAAACTTGCCCTGAAATAGCAAAGTACAAAATAAAAAGAATTTTGGTAAGCTCAACTAACCAAGTTTATATTTTTTACTTTTTAAAAATATATACTATATTTCTCAAATTATGAGTTAAAAACTAATTAATTTTTTTTTTCCTTTTAAAGGCCAAATTGCCTTGAACAATAATTTGTCGGAAATTTCTTATTTAGCAATAACAAATTGATTAAAGGTAATTGATTTTAATCAGAGTGATAGACACGGTATAATTAGGTGTTTAGCTGAAAATGGATTACATGGTTAGTGGGTTAATTTCTTCAAACTTCAGACTTTCTATTATCTGCACTAAATCATCACCCCTTTTTATACTTTATTGTAACAAAAAATAAAAATAAATAATGACATTATTATACTAAAATTTTTGTATTTCTGATCTGTTAAAAGAGTTTTATACAATCAAGTTGCTTAACAAACAATTATAAGCAAATAGAACCAAAATAAGTAAATATATATTATTACTAGTATATATAAGCAAATAGAATGAGTAATGTAATAATGGTACTTTCAACTTTGTCCCAGTTTCTATAATTTATACTCCTCTCCATTTTATACTATATTAATTTTATTCTTTTAATATTTATAACTGAGAAAAAAAAGGAGAAACTATAAAAATAAACAACTAGTTATATTTTAATTTTTTTTAAACAATAACTATTTTTTTGACCATCTATTCTTAATAAAATACACTCTTCTTTTCAGTCGGTTAAAAAAAACAAAAACACATGTAAAAATATTTAACGGAACAGTAACAATATTTTATCCTTGTTACTAATAACTTGTTATACCAATAGTCCACATGAAATATTACTTTTTAAAAAAATGCAATTTTAAATATTATAATAAATAATTAAATTGTATTATACTATGAGAGTAAAAATGAAAAGAAAATAGTGAAAAAAAGATAATGATGTGGCTGTGGAATATCAAAAGGACAACTGCATATTATTCAGAGTCCATCCATCAGTTTCTTCTTTCAAACACGCAATCTCAGACAATTGTATACCTAATTATAAAGTCACTTCGTAAAACTAATCCTCATTTTATTTTATTTTATTTTTGTTTGTGTTATATTATATTTGAAAAAATAATTTTTTATTTTTACATAGTAATAAGATTCACGCACACATTATTATAAATGAAATTATTATACGAAAGTTAATGATATTGAAATAGATGGTAACGTTTTAACACTATAGCTAGAAAAGAAGTTATTATCTAGTCTAGCTCTAGATATATACATAAATAAGAGTAAATGAAATAAAGAAGTTGCAAATGCGTGCATTATATATATTCTTTGTGTCCTAAAGACTAAGGATGAGGGACATAAGTAATTGTTTTTTTACCTGTTACCTGAAATTTTTATTTTTTTTTAATAACTCGAACTTATAATTTTAGAATTAAAAATAAACGTACTTGCTATTTGAACGAGCTACTCTTGACAAGTAAAGTTTTAATATGAAGTTAACATGTCAATTTTATGCATAATTCTTTAGTTTAATTACATGATAAATATTCCTCGATCCAAAAACTGGTCTAAACACTATAATGTTAAAAAAAAGAAAACGTTAGCTTAAAAACTTGTAATTTCAAATAATAAAAACTTATTATAACCATCTGACTGTAAATTTCAATAACAAAAAACTTGTAAATACTAGAATATTCTATGCAAACATTTTTTAACATGCTCAAAAATAAATTAATAATTTATAAAATTCTGGATCCACAAAAGACTTATAAAATATTCTTCATTATCCTTTCTTTATTCCAAAATCCACCACTCTGTTTAAAGACTCTTTAATTTTTTTGTCTCTCACTTTTCTCGTCCATTCAAATGCTAATATAATATGATTCCATCTCTTTTTCTTCTTTTTTTTTGTAATTATTTTATCCTATGAATTAGTCAACTCATAAAATAAAATAAATACATATTTTTTTTTAAAGTTCTTCATAAACTAGAACCATTAGTACTACTGTTTGCTGACAGATGAAATGTAATAATTATTTTTTTTTCAAATATTAATTATAATTATATTTATTTGTAAAAATATATTACTATTTCTGGTATTTCATCACTGATACCAAAAAAAGGATTTGTTCAACATTCCAAATATATTTAGTGGTTTGTATATATTGAGTAGAAAAGGAGGTTGGGTTAATTATTATAGTACTGTAATTTAGCAGGGCCACATGAAATAATAAATGGGGTTGATAGAATACATAAACAGTACACACACAGAGAAATTTGATCACAATTTTCAAGATTTCTGATAAAAAAAAAATTGTCCATCTATCTCAATCACTGCCAGCCCCTAATTATCTGTGTATTTATTTGATCTCACAATTTCCTTGTGTTTTTATAATTATATCATTTATTACACTCATCTTATTACAAAATAGTAGCAGAATCATATATCGTTCTATTTGTGCAAAAATCGATACTTATAACATATACTCTTGTGACTCAATGTACGTGTTGGATTAGTGAGCAGAAGAAAGATTAATTTGAAATATATTAGAAATTCAGCTTGATCTAAATATAATTAAATTTAGTGAAATTCCCAACTTCAAATGTTAAATTTGCCCTAGGTTGAAATTGATGAATAGCGAGTATAAAGAAAATTAAATATTGACTCAATTGTACTGAAATAACTTTGTTAAATATATAAGGATAATGCACGAGTATTCCTCAATTAAT